ATCGGCCATCTCGGGCCTCAGTGGCTGCCAATCCGGCAGAAACCACGTGCCTGAATACCGGATAAAAAGCGGAAACCACGAAACTACCTCGTCGTAATTCAGCCGTGTCTTCTTTCCAGTACAACGACGAGCACGTCTTCAAGTCGTCGTCAGCTCTGGAAGCGGAACCATAAAAATTTTCTGTTTTACGCTCACTTGTACAACCCATCGAGAATCACCACGTTGTTCGTCTCACTAATTCCCTCGTCGATCATCCGCGTCTGCGTCTGGGTGTCAATCTAAATTTTCTAGAATAAATTTAGGTTTGAAAAATTACCTCTAGCCCTTCCAATTCGCGATGCCGCAGCTCAAGTCGAAGTGAATCTAGGCCTAAAACGGGTTAAATTTTAAGACTGCTGAAAAACCTCGGAGCGGAGTCCATTTTTCGGCGTTTTTCCTGCGATAGAACCATCGCACCTCGGGGCACCGGAGTTCGACAACCTGAGATTTTAGGTAATTTTTAACCCAAAAATTCATACTTTTCGCTTTCGATTTCTGGCCGGCGGCACCGGGGTGGTGGCCTTCGCGGGGGGCGGCGATTCTTCAACTTTCAGGGTGGTGTCGAGATCCTGAAACGCAGCTTTTTTACTGGGAATTGGATTGGGCGATGTCAAAAGCTGTTCTTGGCAGGAGAGCCACTTTTCCTGATGTTTTAGAACGCTCTGGTAGCCAAATATTAAGTTTTTGTTCTGTTCGCAAGTTCAAGCGGAAAAACTTTCAAAAAAATTTTTGGTCATTTTGCGACGAACCAAAATTTATAAAGAAATCTAGTCTGAGCGTAAAAAAGCAGCCCCCTCCCGCGAATCCTAAAAAATCCAAAAACTACAAAACTTCAAAAACACGCACCTGATCCTCACTTGCCATTTGCCAGCGAGGCGCGCGCGGACAGGTGTCCTGGTTCGGTTGGCGATGTGGCGCGCGCTGGTGCTGCTGGGTGGGGGACGGCCGGAAGGGGGGCCCTGTGAACGAAAAAATAAATAGCCCTGGCTGATTCACGGTGAGCAAACATGAAAATAACAGGGAGTGGAGGAGGTGAGCGGGAGAAGAGGGCACGGCTCGATTCAGCCCAAAAAAGACCGGCGACCCATAAAATGAAGCTGGTTCGGATGCGGCTACTGAATTGGGGATGGGGAGTGGATTTTTGGCGTAATTTTTCCCGAGGACACGACTTGTTTTGGGGTTCCAAAAGTTTGATGCTACACGTCATAGGGTCGAAGTGCAGACGGCAGCACCCCCAAAAAAAGAAAGTTCAAAATAGGAAGGACAGATTATCCCTTGGGGCCAGAAGACACAGAATTAGAGCTCAAAATACACCCGAAGAATCGAAAAATGCCCTCTAAACATCAGTTCCCGAATTCATACTTCCAAGCAACGAAAAAGCAAACATTTTCACGCATGATCCATACTTGCGTCTATCAGAAGAGAGAAAAAATCCCCGCCTAAAACAGAAGAGTGAGCTCTGAACACCAGACCCGAAATGTATTTTCCAACGCAACCAAAAAAACGCATTTTTTTCGCGCCTGATCCATGCGTACGTCTTGCGGAATGGAAAAACAGGCCCACCCCCACGTAATGTTGCTATTTGTCAGTCGAGCAAAGTAGCAAAACATGCAAGGAGGAAACGCTTCCTCCCCCGGTGGGGCCAAGATCTCTTTCGTCGACCTTTCGCGCCTCGAAGCTCGCACTGGCCGAGCAGCCAGCCAGCAGCAGCAAGTGACCTTGTATGTGACCGGAGCGCGAGCGGCTCGGTGGAGTCCAGTTTGCCGGTGGTGTGCGTGTGGGAACGGGGGGAGACAGACCACCCGGGCCCGCCTCTCGCCACCACTCGGCCCCCTCACTCTGGTCAATAGATTTCATGAAGCGATCCATTATCGGCTTCTCCCCCCTGCTCCTGGCTGTGCCCCCCCCCATGCCCGATTGTGCACTGTCCGGCCCGCCGGATCAGTGCAGAGATATCGCGGGCAACGGTCAAATGGGTTTCCGATGAAGAGTGCTGGTGGCCTGAGCTAAAAGGAGTCACAAAACGATAAAATCCATGCACATGGGGAGCTGCTAAGAAGGAATTGTGTTCCCGAGTTTGCTTGCTAGACTGGCACTCTCCCTTAAACCAATTCAATTCTGGGGCTGCATTTTTTCGTAGGCAGAAGTTATTGAAATTGTCGGCCTTTTAGTTCGAAAGTGGGTATTGTGGAAAAAAGAAGAGGAAAAGAACAACCATCTTTGATCGAGATGATCAGCCGACCGGCCTTCAATAGTTCGATTTGTCAAACACAACACCTTAGATCGAGAGGCCCCTCGTTTTGCACCAAAAAAAAACGAAAACTGCCCGAGAATCGGGCTTCTACGTCTCTCTTGACTGTAATATTTACCTACCAAATACCGCTTAATCCTAATAAAATACTATACAAAAAAAATAATGTCTTTTGAAGGAGAAATAGTTAGGGTTGCAACGGTTGTTTATCGCAAAAGACTAAAAATGTTTTGCCCGCCGGCTGCTTTGCGAGCAATCCGGGTGGCTACTATTGACGTTCACTCCGTGGCGCCTCATCGCCAAACGTTCTCATCAAATTTTCCTGTCGTTTTCAAAATCTTCTCGGTTAGTAACTCGGTTAGTAAAGCGCCCGCGGGCGCGCTCACGGGCGCGCCCTCGGGCGCAATGGCCAAAAGCGCCCGCGGGCGCGCCCGAAACTCGAAAGCGCCCGCGGGCGCGCCCCAATCGCGTTGTAACGGCGTAGGACGGGTTCTTTTAATGCTTTTATTATTTAAAAAGAGGGCACTACATCGCTTTTGGCGATGCTGTACCCTATACTTAATGTAGATCTTCACGTTCCCTGAGAAAATGGTCGTACTGCGCACCTGAAATATGTTTTTTTTTTTTGCTTTTTTGGCTTTAGCTTCGTTTGGAACTTACAGATACGTTCGAATGCGCGATAGATGGCCCCTAAAAGTATAGCTAATTACATAATTTCCTTTATAAACTTCGTAATTCGCACTTACTTTGTTCCCGCTTCCTGAAAACTTGCTTTGACTTGCTTCTTGCCGACTTACTTTGCAACTCCGCCCAATGATACCGGAAACGTCGCGCTTCGCATTTGCAATGATGACCATGATCGTCTGAAAGGTCGGCTCATATAAATCGAGAATCTATAAATCTGAATCTAAAGTATTTTTAAAGTTTCGCAGGGACTGGTTGCGTAGCAAAACTTTACCTTCGTTACCTGCACCATGGCGCTTCAAAGTATTGTATTCTACATTCGACGACGATAACCAAGCAAATCTAGTAACGTTTGTGCTAAATTATATATATTTTGAACAAAATAAGTGGATAAGCCAGGAACTTAGCCGTTTTTTCGCAGAATTGAAAGGTGTTCACCATTCAAATGCGCCCGCGGGCGCGCCCCTAGTTGCGCCCATGGGCGCTTTTTGCGCCCCGAGCGGTTTTGCGCCCTTTTGCAAAAATTGCGCCCGGGGCGCAAAAGGGTCCAGTTCGGGCGCGCTCGCGGGCGCTTTGGGTTTTCGGGCCGCGCCCGCGGGCGCTTTGCTAACCGAGTTGGCTCGACTTTTTCGGCTTCATCTCATAAAATCCCTACTTTTAAAATAATTTAAAAAATCTCCTTTTCCAGAACTCGTTGCCGGGCCCGCGGATGCTGAAGCTCAATGCCCCAACATGGAGGCTGCAGCTCCGTCTCTTGGCGGCCAACTACCAGCGAAAGCCGATCGACATCGAGCAGTATACCCCCGACAAGATCCGAAATTTCGGCATCGTCGCCCACGTCGATCACGGCAAGAGCACCCTGGCCGATCGGCTGCTCGAATTCGCGGGCGTCATCAAGGCTGGTGAAAAGGAAGCCCAGTTCTTGGATCGGCTACAGGTCGAACGCGAGCGAGGAATTACGGTGAAAGCTCAAACTGTGGCCTTGCCGTACAAAGGGCACCTTATAAACCTGATCGACACGCCCGGGCATGCCGATTTTTCGTCAGAAGTGGCTCGATCGTTGACCGTCTGTGACGGAATATTGTTGCTGGTCGCCGCCAATGAAGGGATTCAAGCCCAGACGATAGCCAATTTCTGGCTTGCGTTCGACGCCGATGTGCAGATGATCCCGATCATCAATAAGATCGATTTAAAAGGAGCTGAAATCGCGAAAGTTGAGCGGCAACTCAAGAATGTCTTTGGCTTCGAATCAAACGAGGTGTTAAAGATCTCGGCGAAGACTGGCCTTGGCATTGAGCCCATTCTGGATACGATTATTGAACGGATACGACCGCCCAAAGTCGCGCAAGAACAACCCTTCAAAGCTGTAATTTTCGACTCGATGTTCGACCACTATCGCGGCGCCATCGCGTATATTTTGGTGCGTGAGGGCCGGTTGAAGCGTGGCGATAAGATCCGCTCGTTCCACAACAACAAGGAGTACGAGATCAGCGAGGTCGGCATCATGAAACCGGAGATGATGCCCGTCACCGCCTTGTCTGCTGGGCAGGTCGGATATATCATTTGCAACATGAAAACGACGAAGGAGGCCGCGATTGGGGAGACGCTGTTCGATGCGGCGCGGACGGACGTCGAGCCGTACCCCGATTTTAAGCTGATCAAGCCGACCGTGTACGCCGGGCTGTTCCCGGTTGAGACTAAGGACTACGAGGAGCTGCGGCAATCAGTGGAGCGGCTCTCGCTGAATGATCCCTCCGTCGAAATTATTCCCGACTCCAGCCCCGCCCTAGGATTGGGCTGGCGTGTGGGATTTTTGGGCGTGTTGCACATGGAGGTGTTTTCTGCGCGCCTGGAGCAGGAGCACGATGCGCAAGTGATCCTTACTCAGCCGTCGGTGGAATACCGGGCACGAATCAAGGACAACGAGACGGTGCGCAAGAAGCGCTACAATGGTCAGGCCGAGATTCGTATCTTGGACCCTGGCTCATTCCCCGATGAGGTTGATGTGGAAGCTTTTTTGGAGCCGATGGTCAAAGTGAGTATTTTTGTTTTTGAAAGGTAATGACTTTTTTTTCTAGGTCCGGCTAGTCGTCCCAGCCGAGATGATGGGCCAGATCAACGGGCTGTGCTCTGAGGCTCGCGGGGAGCGCGGCGAAATCTCAAGCATCGATGAGAAGCGCCTTTTGATCACCTGGCGACTACCAATGGCCGAGGTGGTCATCGACTTCTTTGACAACCTGAAGCGCATCACGTCTGGCTACGTGTCGTTCGACTACGATTTCGACGGTTACAAGGAGTCGAAGCTGATCCAACTGAACATCAGCATCAACGACAAGCTGGTGCCCGAGTTCTCGCAAATCGTCCCGGTCAGCATGGCGGGTGAAAAGGCGCGCACGTTGGTCGGCCGGTTGAAGCGGGAAATCCCGAGACAGCAATTCGAGTTCACCATCAAGGCCTCGGCAGGAACGTCTACGAAAGCACTATGCTCATCGACAATTCGAGCTCATAAGAAGGACTTTATGCAGACGTTGAAGGGGAACATTGGCAAGGGAGGTCTGGAGCGGCTGAACAAGAAGCTCCATGATCAAAAGAAGGGCAAGGAAAAGATGAAAGTGCTCGGGAGAATACAAATCCCGAAAGAAGCGTTTTATAATGTACTCAAGAATCATTAGTTTTCATGTTTAGTTTTAGAGTTGTAGATAGGAATCCTATTGTTATCGTTATTGTGATTGTTGGCCAGTGCGTGTTGTTATTGCCCTGAATTTTTAGGATTTTTTTAGAATTTTTTTCACCGTGTCTACCAAAAATTAGTGCCTATTCATGTTTTTCCTCACTTGATACTTGTGCCATTTCATGCGGGTTCTTCCAGTTCAATTTTTCATGAATTTATGATTTCTTTGCGCGGAAATAATATGCTTTTTGCAGGATGGTCGAGTCCACGGGCCCCGTCGCCGTCCCAGTCGTCGACGAGAAGGAGCGCGCGCTCAACCAGTACCGCAAGAAGTTGACCGACTACAAGGAAATCGAGCAGCGCCTCAAGGAGCTAAGAAAGAAGGTATGGATTAGTTCTTGTCCTTTCAATAGACTTTTTCAGGAGCAAGAGCTCCAGAAGCTGCACGACAAATCCGAAAACGACATCAAGTCGCTGCAGTCGGTCGGTCAAATTGTTGGCGAAGTACTGAAGCAGCTGAGCGAGGAGAAGTTTATCGTCAAGGTGCATTTCTAGTTTTTTTATCTAATTAAATTTAGGCAACAAATGGGCCCCGCTATGTCGTCGGATGCCGTCGCTCCATCAACAAAGTAGCGCTAAAACAAGGTTTGTTTAGCGAGCTTTTTAAAAGATATCTTTATTTCAGGAACGCGAGTCGCCCTCGACATGACCACGTTGACGATCATGCGACAACTTCCGCGTGAGGTTGACCCGTTGGTGTACAAGATGTCTCACGAGGACCCCGGCAACATCACGTATGGCGACGTGGGCGGTCTGGCCGAGCAGATCCGCGAGCTGCGCGAGGTCGTCGAGTTGCCGTTGCTAAACCCCGAGCTCTTCCGCCGTGTCGGCATCACGCCCCCGAAGGGATGCCTCCTCTACGGGCCGCCTGGTACCGGAAAAACGCTGTTGGCCAGGTGAGCTTCCTGACAATTATACAATTATACAGAAAACGATTCGTAAACTTTTCTTTTCAGGGCAGTTGCCTCCCAACTCGATTGCAACTTCCTGAAGGTCGTCTCCTCGGCGATCGTCGACAAGTACATTGGAGAGTCGGCGCGCATGATCCGTGAAATGTTCAACTACGCCCGCGACCATCAGCCCTGCATCGTGTTCATGGACGAAATTGACGCGATTGGCGGTCGCCGTTTCTCCGAGGGCACATCGGCCGATCGTGAAATTCAGCGAACGTTGATGGAGCTGCTCAATCAGTTGGACGGTTTCGACTCCCTCGGCCAGGTCAAGGTGAGTACAGGATCTTTTTGTTTTTTTGTTTGGTCTTTCTTTTTTGATACTCTATGACGTTAAAAAATGTGGAAAAGTAGCAAAATGCTGAAAAATGTGGAAAAAGTAGCAAAATGCTGAAAAATGTGGAAAAAGTAGCAAGCATATCGAGAAAACGGGGGCAAAACTGATGACCATTTTTGACACGTCATTGCGTTTTCTTCAGGTGATCATGGCGACAAACCGCCCCGACACGCTCGACCCCGCCCTTCTGCGCCCTGGCCGTCTCGACAGGAAGATCGAGATCGCTCTCCCCAATGAGCAAGCCCGATTAGAGGTTTTTTATAATATAGCTATTTCATTTTGCTTTAGGTTATTAAAATCCACGCCAACCCCATCACCAAGCACGGCGACATCGACTTCGAGGCCGTCGTCAAGCTCTCCGACGGGTTCAGTTGCGCCGATTTGAGAAACGTCTGCACTGAAGCCGGTGGGACAGTGCCACTCGTATTTTTATCCCATTTTTCAGGTCTGTTCGCCATCCGCGCCGAGCGTGAATACGTCGTCGAGGAGGACTTTATGAAGGCCGTCCGCAAGGTCAGCGACGCCAAGAAGCTCGAAACCAAGCTCGACTACAAGCCCGTCTAATCCGCCGCCCCCCCGGTTTTACATTCTTCTTCTTCGTTTTGTGATCAGCCTTATTATTCCGTATTTATTACAAGTTCCTCTCATTGCTTCCTTCGACTGGTTTTGTGCATAAAATTTAAGCCATTATCTGCCGGGGTGGTTGTGTCTCAAAAATTCGGGCGGCCTCGCAATTTGGCGCTGATAAGCGGGGCGCGAAGAAAGTGTCTCCGGGCCAAGGCTTTTCCTCCTGGTTTTATGGAGGAGCCGGCGGCGGTGCATGGATCGAAGGCGCCGAAAAGTTATACGGTTTGTTTGAAGTGTTTTTAAGCCTGCTAATCTTCTAGTCTGAAAAATGGATCGGTTGCTACCTGTTTCCGGCTTCACAGTGCTTCTGCCTATTCTACGTGCTCGCTGCGGCGGTTTTTAAGCTCCACGGCTTCTTTGCGGCTCTGATAATAGGATTGGGTAGTGGAAAATAGTTTATTTAATTGAAAATATTTTTAGTAGCTGTAGACCTAATATTCTGGTTTGTGAACACGTTGTCGATCTTCCAATGCGCCGTGTCGTTCGGCGACACGCTCCCCCAATGGGGAAGCCCGCTGAATTTGCTGGCGAAAATTCTGCTGTGGAGGGTATTTAGATTATCCTAAAGAATTTCTGCTAGCTTGCCTTGCAGCGAAGTTTTGGTCTTCTTTTCAGGGCTGCAGCATCACCGTCGAGCTCGGAATCCTGGGCGCGCTGGTGATCGTGCAGACCACCAAACGTGGGTTGTATTTTTTTGTATGGAACTCCTAGCTTTTTGATGATGGGTTTTGCAGTTTGTAGACCCGCTATTTTCTAGATATTACCGTCACCTTCTCGATGATTGCAATCGGGCTGTCGATAGTGCTTTTTGGCGGCCTGGGGACGTGGTTGTTGTATTCGTTCAGGTGAGCAAGCCGCGCAAGTTTAGGACAAGCTAGCAAAGGTTTTTGAGGAAAGAACACAAAAAAAACGCCAGGAATCGTATTTTCGCGCAAATTTGAGGTGAACTAGCAAAGATTTTTCAGGAAAAAGTGTAAAGCCATGTTCATAGTTGATGTTTTGAAGCAAATTTTAGGCTAGCTAGTAGCGGTTTTTTAGGAAAGGGCACAAGGAAAAGCCCAGCATTCGTGTTTTGATGCAATTTTGAGGTTGAGATGAACTCGCAAAGATTTTTGAGGATAAAACGTACAGCCATGCTCGAAATTTCAAGATCAAGCATTTTCAAGCAAATTCAGGCAGGCTAGAAAAAGTTTTTCCCGAAGTAGCATCAAGCCTGGCCCGGAATTCCGTGTTTCAGGCGAATTCGAGGCACTGAGTGAGCAGAGATTTCTGAGGAAAATGGTCTTAACCAGGACCAAGAGTTGTATTTTCACGCGACTTTGAGGCTAGCCAGCAGAGTTCATTTTTAATGACTTCGTTTGCTCGAGAATCTGAAGCTCTTTAGAAATCGTCTTCTTGAAGAGCCGGTGGCCCAGGACACACCCCGAATTCGAGACCAAACCCCAATATCCCAGGATACGCCCATACAATCCGCCGGCCCGACCATCGCCTACCCGCCCACGGAGCGCAGCGCGGGCAGTCAGAGTTCGCGGATTGTATGTTTTCCCTCATTTTTCCTTTATTTGTGCGCGAAATTCTCTTAAAAAGCTCGCTTTTTAGTCAAGCCAAACGCCGAAGCACAAAATTGCCGCCCCGCCCAACTGGCGGCAAATGCAGAAAATTGTGGAGGGCGATGGACCGTTGGAGCCTCGCGAAGGTATTTTGTAATTTTTAATTTTGCATATTTTTAATTTTTAATTTTTCAATAATCTAACTAGTACTTAAAGTAATTATTTATTTTATAAGAAACATCTTAAACTCTCGGTTTTAGGATATGCCAACCCCGAACCAGCACCGGATCGGGTTCGTTTTTGCTATTTTATAGAGCCTTTTCAAGGGGTTTTTAGCTTTCGATCGCACTCGCTCGGTCTGTATCTCCCTCTCTCTCTCTCCCTCTCTCTCTCTTTCTCTCTCTCTCGCTCACACTCTCGCCCAAACCGAAAATTCAGGTGATGCCACAGAGACCCGGAGAATTCCCACCTCCGGTTCTGGGAAACGGCTTCACTCGGCCGGGCACCCCTCCGTTTTCTAATAATGTGGACAGTGGCGGTGCGATGACTACAGAAGGTGAGTCTCTCTCTCACTCTCGTTTCATTTCCATTTTTAGATTTTTACGCTGGCAGCCAGCTCCCTCCGGCCCCGCCTCCTCCCCCAGACGCCCTACTCCCTCCCATTAATGCGCCGGTTGTCCAACCCGCGACCATCACTGACCGATCAGCTTACCTCAACAGCCAACTTCCGGTTTTGCGGCCCTCCTGCCTTCCCGGAAATGAACCCGAAAGCCGAACTGTTAGTGGTGGTAAAATTCTGATACGCTGGCTTGAAGAGCTTTTAGGCCGGTATCTCGTGGCTGACTCCGGCGCGGCCTCTGCCGGACGGCAAGCTGAGCTGCGTGAGTTTTTATCGAAAACCTAGCCTAAACATAAGCCTAAGGTTTTGGGGCTAACTAGCAGAGATTCTTTAGGAAATGCCGAGACTGCCCGCGCGAGGCAGGATTCACTTTTTGAGGCTCCTGTTGACCCAGTGCCCGTGCCCGAGGACCAGCCGGACTATCGATATCGCGCGGAGCAGGGGGGTAAGTGCGAGGTTTTAACGGGATTAGAGCGTCTAGAAAAGTTGCTGTGGTTAGCAGAGATTTTTGGGGATTTTTTGGGACATACATTTTCAGTGCCTTCGACTTCTGAGCAGCCCGTTCAACCCGAGAATCCTGAATATGCTAATAATAGATTCTAGGCCTTCTGGAGCTCCTCAAGCTCGATCTTTCTCTTTCGCTCTCTCTCTCTCTCTCTCTCTCTCTCTCTCTCTCTCTCCCTCTCTTTCGCTTTTTCCCTCTCTAGCTCTCCCTTTCGCTATCTCTCTCTATCATATAGATTGCATTATTTGATAAAGCGGAACTTTATTAGCCAAAAGCAATACGGGAAATGCATGAAATGAGAAACTTCGTGAAAATTCTGGTTTTAAAAGGTCGGAAAATCGTGCCCCTTAAAAGCCATTCTTTGGCCGGGATCCAGCTGGGATTTGTAGACGGCGAGAGAGAGAGCGAGAGAGAGAATGAGGGAGAGAGAGATAGTTAGATAGCAACAGGAAAAACAGAGACCGTTGTTTCGGGGGTTTGGGACGCGTTGTGGACAAGTAATACGAACAAAATCAAGCTTACAAGCCTTTAAAGGGACCGGGAAGTCAGGCTATGGCCAAAATCTGACCTTAAAAGCCCTTTACAATCTAAAAATGTGCTTATTGGGGCTTTTCGAAGAACAGCTGGCGCTCCTCCTCGATGCGCTGGTGGTGCTGGGCCCTGAAAGTTGGCTAATTTCCAAAAAAACCAAGCCCCAACAAATGGACATTCAACTCAAAATTTACATAAATTTATTCATGGCACACATCCAGAAGCGGCGCGGTTAGTATATGGCTCTTTAAAGGGACAGTGAAGGCTGTGGACAACAAAAAAAATATATAGCTGATGATTGGGAACTTTTAAAGGCCCTGGAAGCTTCTAGGGACAAAAAAACGGGTTTCAAAGTTTTTAGTATGATATTTAAGTATCTTTTGAAATTTTTAAGTATTGGAAATATTTTCTAAATATTCTTAAACTAGGAAACTTAAAACTGCATAAAAATAAATTTTCTAATTTTCACTTTTTACATTTTCGATTTCTCTACTGTAATTACTACTGCAGTGAAATTCGAATTTCAACAAATCCAAAAATGACAAGTTCAAGCTCGAGGGTATACGGTAACCTGTCGATAGTACAGCAGTGGAATGGCTGGGGGTACGGTAGGGGAATACTGTAGCGGACACCGGAGCTGATCACAACGTATTTTTTTTGACCAAATAAAATAAAAGATAAGAGAAAGGGGGTGGCTATCAGAATTGAGGTCTAAAATGAAATTTGGGAAAAAGCCGGAAGAAACTATGCTAAATTTAAAGGGAACGTGCCGGTTGGAAATTGGGCTCTCTCTCGCTCTTTGTCTCTCTCTCGTTCTCTATCTGGCTCTCTCTCGCTCTCTCTGCCTTGCCCGTCCCTTTAAACCCGATTTTCGTAGCCGGCACCCTCCCCCTAAATTCACAAATTCGTTGGGCGGCCCGTCGGGTTATAATGGCCAGAGTGCGGGGCGTACAACGACCCGGCTCGCGACGGGAGCGGCAAGTACTCGGCCGACGCGTAGATGGTCGACGGGGGACGGGACGACAGCAATGAGGGCGGCCAATCGCCGGCCGCCGTGTAGAACGACTCGCACAGGGAGGCCGTGCTGCTGCAAACGCACACACTTTTCCGGGGGTTTCCGAGGTACGGTGGGCTATTTTTGATAGGTTTTGGGTACGGTAGGTTACGGTATGACCACGGTAACCCTACCGTATCCCTGCCGCACGCTAAACCGCGCCCAGCCCCGTCTTGTGGCTTCCCAGTTTTTGTCGCTAGGCTGAGGAAAGCGGTTTTTAAAGGTGTGGATTTGGATCTGCTTAGGCTAGACTCAGGTTTAAGCTTATGCTTAGGCTTAGGCTTAGGTTTAGTCTTAGACCCAGCTTAAGCTTAGGCTTAGCTAACGTCTAGAATTTATGACCATCCTTGCCTGTTCCTTAAAGGGAGCCGGACAACCGTTTTTGATATGTTTTTAACGCAAAAATGAGACCGCCTGTACCGTATCCAGTGTGTGCGTTTGCGCGCGCGAGACGGCGGGAAAAATAGCCACCGATAGCCGACAAACGACATGGAAAGCCACAAGGCGCGACGGGACGCCAATTTTTTGAAATGACTCTTTTTTGCTAATTTTTTTGGATAGACACATTAATGACGACAGAGCGGAAAGAGGAAGGAGCGGAAGCGGAGAAGTGGGAGGAAAAGCCTGGCACTCTGTAAGGTTTTTTTATCCCTCCTAAAGATTATCTGCTAGCCTGATCTTTCCTAAAGAATCTCTGCTACCTGCCCGTTTCTAAGGAATCTCTGCTAGCCCGTCCTCATAAAAGTTTCTGCTGGCCAGTCTCGAGCTTCCTAACGCCCCTAAAACCTCGAAAATCCGTCAGCGTAACTAGTATTGTCACGGAAACGTTAGAAATTAGCTCATAGAAAGCGAATAAAACCTGCGAAACCTCAAATTCCTCCAGAATTCCCGCTAGCTTCCCTGACGTCCGTTTTCATCGCAAAAACGCCGCCTAATTTGCATAAAACGAAGCTGTAAGTTAACGATGGTGCATGCCCTTACTCGCAGAATAGGAAGCGTTCCGGAACGCCGAGGCGCCACAGAATAGAGGTATAAGAACCAAAAGAAGTAGTAGTAACCCTTTTATCGGCACAAAGACACGTCACGAAAAAGAGCGAAAATATGCAAAAGACAAGAAGTCAGACGACCACCACCAATCACAAAAAGAAACCAAAAAAAATGCTAGGGGCACACACGACAGAAATCAAGGCGGGGCGGGCGGCAGGGCGCAAAATTATGCATTAATGGTAGGGGCGGGGTAGGTGGGCGGGTTACGAGAGAAAACACGACAACACGACAAAATGGAGCGGAAGGGAGGCAGGGCACATTCTTTGGGAGGGCGTCGATTGGTGTAAGATGGAATTAAAGGGGCTGGAAAGCGCGAGAATCGACCCCATTTTTCCATCAGGCCTCGACAGTTACGGAGGTTAGCTACGCGACGCTCCAAATTCCGCATGCCAGCACAGCTAGACGACAAAAAAAGGCCTTCAAAATGCGATCTCAGCGTCATTTGCCGCCTGACGTACTTGTCTAGACCTAGTCAACCGTAAAGGTAGATTCTGGCGAGAATCGACCGCTTTCATCTCGAGTTACGAAGCAAGCTACGCGACGCTCCAAATGACGCAGCCAGCCCATCTCGACGACGAAAAGGCTTTAAAAATGTAATTTTTAGCGTCATTTGGCGCATCACGTACTTGTCTAGATCTCGCCGATCCTTGGGGGTCGATTTTTCGGTCTTCTAGCCCCTTTAATTGACCGGAAAAAAATTCGCTAACACACAAAAAAACAATGTGGCCTGTGTGGCATTGTGGAGCAAGTTTTAGCACCCAGTAGTAAAAGAAAATCGAGGAGTCTAGATAAATCGGGATTTTTAAACGTTGAATAAGGGCAGGATACTGTAGTCGAGGTAAATTTAGAAAATTTTGGCCCAAATTCGGCGCTGAATTCACTTTAGCGAGACGACGATCATGGGCTCGATGCGGAATTCCGTTTTATACGAGCCGTCCTGGAGGGCCTGCGTGCGGGGGTACGGTGGGGGAGGGCTTTTCGCGTCTCTAGAAATTTTCAGAGGTACCCGCCGTCGATAGGATAAAGCGGAAACGTCAATAGAAAAATTGGCGTGGGGGAAGCTAGCCCCCGGGGGCATGCGGTTACGTGGCGGGGACCGGTCAGAATACCGAAATACCTCAAAAAACAGACAAAATTAAAACTGAGGTTCAAAAGGCAAAAGTCGCTTGCACGAGCCGGAATTGAACCCGGGCAGTTTGCCTGGACAGGCGAGAAACTTACAACTTGACCAAGGCAAAAAATTAAAAAATTATTTTGATACACCTTTTCAGCATTTTAGCCAAAAGAAAAAGCTCTGCCGCGAGCGGGGTTCGAACCCGGGTAGTCTACCTGGCAGAGGAGGGAGTTACCATTTAACCACAGCTAAAAATTTAAGAACGAGTTTTTAACTAGATTTTTCGGTATTCTGACGTCTCCTATTTTTAACCCGAATACCGTAACCCGAGTTTAACCCCTAGTATAACTAACGTGGATCTAGGCAAGCCAGTACGCACGAAAGGAAAAGATATCGGCAGTGCTCGGGGGATGAAAAAAGACATAGAAATTGACCAACCACCATGAAAGACGACAGCTCATCCACGGATAGGGGTGAAAAGCGGGGTTGTAGAAACAGCGTGTGCGTGTAGAAAGTCGGCGAAACGGACGCGGGGTGGGTGCAACTAGTAAGCGGACGACGTCGCCGGGTAAAGTGGGCGCAACTCAAAGTCGGCGGCTGGCCCGGCTCTAAAGCACGGAAAATAAGTGGCCAGGGGTGAGGTTGCGGGAAAAAGCTGGCAGGTACTGGACTGCTAGCAGGGGGGGGGGGGGGGTAATTTTTCCCAGTAATCCTATATGTCCGATAAGAAAAATACACCATTTTGCAGAATTTTATCCAGTTTCACGAGATACAAAAGCCCGTCAAAACTCGAATTTTGATAATTTTTGAATTTTTCGTGGAAAAACTTATGAAAAATGACCAAACTAACTAATTTTTTGAACCCTTAAAAATCCCAAAATATTTTTTTTGTCGCTTCCTACCTTTGTATTTATTAATTAGCAAAAAAAAATTTTTTGCCGGAGGCCGGCAAAAAAAACTGAAATTAGTCCCCCCCCCCCGCTAACAGTCCAGTCCCAAAAGTTAGACGGGGTTAGTTTCGCAGTCAAAACAAAAAAAGAACTGAAAAACGTCAACTTACAGCCGCTGCGAGGTGGGCGCTTGCGGGCCCGTCTCGTCTTGGATGTGGATCGTGTGCGACTGCGTGGAGACGACCTGAAAATTATAAAATAGAACATAAATAGAATGTAATTATAAAATAGATTATAAAATGAAGTTTAAAAATCGCTATTTTCAAAGATTTTCAGCACCATAAAATCATAATATACGTCGTGACACTAATCGTGACGCGCTAATTATATCAAGAAAAAGACCCGGGTTCGACCCCCGTCCGAGGCTGAACTTTTTGATTTTTTCGAAAACAGACCGAA